CTAACATGTGTCACAGGCGAATCTCAAAATCAGCATGCTGAATCAATAAGACATGTCCATGGATGCACATCTGTGTGGCCGTCTGGCTTGAGAAAATCTAAATATCGGCTAATGAAAGTCTTAGAAAAAGGAACACGCATTACAATCCATGTCACTCTTGGCCCTAAAGTGGAATTACCCATCTTTATGCCCTCATACATCTTGTCTTTAACAGATGACCAGCTTTCCCCTTTAGAAGTGGCACCTACAATTCATTCTCATTCCCCCTCAACATTCTCTATGGAGGCTGGGTGTACCTGCCATGGGTACCAATGGGCTCAACAGTCATGAGCAAGCTAATGCAGCCTGTAGAAGTAATCCTTGAGAGGTGTCCCGCAGCCACAGAGAAATGTCAGTCCACCTGTGCATAGTAAGACAGTGCAATGTCTTATTTAAACCTGATTTAATTTGGCTGGCTTGGCACTGGTCTTGTGTAAATAGAAGATTGGAGCTGGGGAAGCAAAAAGTCTGTCTTTATTTAGAGAAACTGGCTTGGTTACAAGATGAGCCAGATGCACAGCAAATTCAGCTAACAGATGTAGTGGTCACACATAGTTCTCCGCTTGGATTACCACCTGTACAGCCATATGAATATTTAGTGAATACTGAAGTGTCAACTGTAATGTAGTGCTCACAATCAGCTTTACTCTGCCTCTGCCTATATGAGGACTGTGGGAGTAGTGTTGGAAGGCATAACATTGATAATTCATTGTACTCAGTGGGAGACTGGCTCAAAACTTATAAATAAAACTGCATTACAGCAACTTATTTTACCTGTTTTGGATTCTCTGCTCAGCTTTAATGCTGGTGTATAATGAACTATAACAAAACTGTATTTTGTGTAATTTGTGTATAGAAGATTGGAAGGGTGCATTCTTGAGTTACAATGCAATTCAAATACCTACTTAAAGGAAAGAAAAACAACATAATGTGTTTGTCATAAAATATTAAGACAAGTAAACATACTGGTAAACAGAGAATACATGTTAGTGCTAGGCTGCAGTATAAATAAGTATATCCCATGTGGATAACTACAGCAGTTTCTTTTTTTTTTTTTGTAACAATCCTTTACATTTCACCGCAAACTTTAACATTAAATATGTACCAATAATATTAAAAATAAGCCCTATGTGTTTTATGCATGAGTGCAGACATTCTATGAGAACATAGAGCACTGGGAGGTGTACTTCTGTTTCAAACCTTTTCTAGCTCAGTAAACTCTAATCCATACTGACAGAGGAGACTCACCTGAACATGTTTCTACTGGGAATGACACTTCTTCTCAATATTTGGCATTTTTAATGTCTCACTGAATGATACCTTTTTGTTTTGGTGACTACTGGAATCAATAGGGAGCCCGGTGACAAAGAAAACATTTTAATCTCCGTCCTTCGATCAGACTTAAATTGATTTGCCATTCATTATCAAGTCTAAGGAGAATAAGTAATGCATTTGCAGCATCACTGTTGGCTTTATATTAAAACTGCCTTAAATGGGTAGATGTATACAATTAAAACATAATATGCTACATACTATTAATTTAGTTTAAAGTATTACTTTAAACTTGATTGAATGTTAAAATATATGTATTCAGAAGCTAAAGGACATTTGTATTTTCTTTGATGATTACATTTGGCTTTCCTGGGAATAGTGGTCTAAGATCTCAGTAATAACATTTAATAGTGAGATGACTAAAAGGCTGACCTAACATTTCTTGCCCTCCCTTATGTTAGTTCTTAAGTATTCAGCCCCTGTTCTGACCTCTATGTCTGGCAGATGGCTTCATAGTCTCTCAAACAAGCCTTCAGAGAGGAGACATGATGCCACAATGCAAACAACCATCACATCACTGGCCTAATAGCTTTTTCCCACTGAGTCAGCCATAGTAACAAACCCTTGTAATAACTTGTGCTACCACAGGCTGAGCGGGAAGAGATGGAGAAATGTGGTCTCTGTGTACGCCTCAACAGTCATCTATGGGAATGAGTATGGGGTCAATAACGAGCATACAATCGTGAATTGTTTGCCCGGTTAGACATCAGTGGATATAACTATGGATCTGAGCTGGCGATAAGATTTCCAGCAAGGGAACTTATTCCCCCATGTTCCAGCTGAAAATAGCTAGAAAACTTACAAGGGGAAGAAGGGCTATTCCACAGTCCACTGTACTTTATGTGTGATGTGGTATAGAGTGGGAAAATGTGAATTCAGTTCTAGGGGTATTCTAGGAGTACGACAGCAAAAGTATTTATTTATCAGCTGTGCTAAAATATGTGTCTGGGTGTTCAAAATACATGAATGATACATTGATATTGGAATGAAAGATTTCATTTTTTTTCCTTTTGGTTGGATTTCTCAAATCAAATGCCTCAGTGCAGAACATTTTGTATCCTCCATGTGGATTCAAACTATTGTTTGATTCACCAAAGAGTGTATGTTTTCTTAATCAAACAGTGAGAGTCAGTATTGGCATGCTACATGTACATATTTAAATAATAACTTAAGTAGGTGTTATTCAAACCCATAGAATTGAGTGACATGACTTTTTTTTTTCAATATTTTATTCAGTTGTATTAAGATATCATAACATATCAATATATGTCACTCAGTATTAACATGCTGAAAGATAGACTTTTTTGACACAAAATAGACTTTTGCCATCTAATACTAAAAGTCACATTTCTTTCTGCAAAATAAGATTGAACTCTGCTCCTGACCACATGCTTTTATTGAGAGAGGATTGTCTGTGGACCTCTAATAACAAGCATATCGTTAGGAGTTGGAAATTAATCTCTGAATCGCAATCTCAATTAAATAAAAATGTAATAAATTGCACTGCCCTGATGTACATCCAAGACTAGCAGAACTTGAGATATAAAAGAATTCAAAAGCTCAAACATGCTTTTTATGCCATGTTTCAAGTCAGGCACTGGACTGAAACCTTCAAACAGTCTGTGTTTTAGATACAATCAAAAAAGCATAAATATTGCAATCAGAGCATAGCCATTAAGTACTGGAAATAAATACGAAGGGTAACAATCTCACCTCTTTGCACGCTCACTCACACTGAGATATTTGCTGTACTTTCAGTCCTGTTGTCTGGGAGACCAGTCCTTGTTTGGACGAGTTGTCAAGGAAACAAAGATGGGGTGAAAAAGCTATTCGGTGAAATTTGTGTTTGCTGTGTCGGACCAGTGGCCATATGATAGCATAGCATTTAGATGTGCACTCCCAGTATTGCACCATATTCCAAAGGTCTTCTATTGATTTGGTGATATTACTTTAAAACAGAAGGTTGTAAATAAGTCCGGTGGATTATTTTTATTGCGGCACCTTTTGCCTTGAGCAGACACAGACTGTGTAAGGCAGGAAATCCTCAGTAGAGTAATTACTACCTGAATGGTCACCTCTGTTAGTGGCCTAGAACAAAGCAGAAAATGAATACGTATAATCAGTGATGATTAGAGGTCAAAGGTTAAGCCAAGCCAATCTCTTCACATTTTTAAAGAAGCAATGAGAAATGTAAGGAGATTAAATACAGGCTGTAATATATATATATATATATATATATATATATATATATATATATATATATATATATATATATATATATATATATATATATAAAAGAGAGAGAATGTTATTCCATATATTTTTTGAGCAATAAAATGACATAATTGAAGAAAAGTTTATTACCATACTGGGGTAGATGGTGGTGCCTCCACCATAAATGTTGTTAAGTGCACCTCTAAGATTACATTTCAGCGGAATTTGTTGATTTGTTTGCCTGTGATTTGCCATGGAATTGTAGATTTCAGAATAGTCTATCAAGGAAAATATTGTTTCTTGGGTAAATTTTAAACAATCATCCAAGTCTCTGAAGTATTGACATACAGTACAAATTTAATTTTAATATAAGTTTTGACCAGAAGGGGTTACGGTAGAAATGAAACAAAAAATTGGAAAATAATTTAAAACATTTTTAGAAGAAAAAATTATCAGTCATAAATTATTACAACAAGTACATATGAAGCTTTTTCAGAAAAATGTGTACTTAATCCTACTTCTGATTATAGTTTTGCATGTTCTCTGCTGTGTTTTTCCATGTAAACTGCTTTTCAACAACCCAATACCACAATTTCCATAAAAATCAACCAACGTACATAAGCCTGAAATAATTTATTCCTGAACCTTTTCTGATTGAGCACAGTATGCCATCATATGTCGGGTAATCTTTGGTATTACTACTTGAATGGCTTTATGTCTCACTGTGAGCTTCAACAATAGACTGCAATGGATGTTTATAATAACATATGATTACCTGCCAAAGGTTAAGTTTTTGTTGTGGGCTGAATCAGAATCTTAGAAATTAAACACGAAACAACTTTGCGGTTTCTTAGTGATCACATATTTGCGTCACTAACATTATAAAGTCTCAGTTGTGAAATTACTACATAATGTCACTGCAGTGGATTCACCCAGGAGAACGGGAGCAGCTGGACTAGACATGCCACATATTGCGCGAGTGATTAAAAAAAAAAAAAAAACAGTGTGGCCTAAATATTTCCTCACAGCAGCCTGGTTCCCTCCATTTTCACCTCTAGTTCTGTCACATGCCTTCTCCATATCTCCCCTTTTCACATTGCGAGCTCAGATGTGCTCATTCAAACCCTTACCCCGATAAACTTCACAAATACAATTTCCTATCTCAGTCAAACTTGTACATACAATGATTTATTCAGCATGAGGGCCTGTACTGCTTCAGGCTTTCAGTGGTTCACCTCCTTAAGGTTTGGTCTCACCGGTGTCATCCAGCTCTGATCTGCTGCAATCGAGAGTGACAGTCGCAATCAGCAGCCAGACAGCCTTTACATTGAGGTTAAGCTTAGCGAGGAAAAAATGCACGAGTAATAACACTACTAACGCCACCGAGCCTCCCTTGTTTTTATTGTCTTTCCACATCAAGGACTCCTGCGGATACTGATGAGAACAGAGTCTTGAAGGTCTGCGTGCGGTTTGTGCGTGGCCCAGGACACATCAGCCTCCCTCCGGTTGCATTGGAGTGCGAAAGCCCCTGTCAACATGGGGAACGCTGGGGGCTCATCTTAAGGAGAAAGCGAGAGAGGGAGAGTGGGAAAGAGGTACAGAGAGAGTGAGAGAGGTAGATCTGAGACAGGAACAGGGGAGGCAGGAAGCAAGAGTAGTCCGGGTCATTGTGGGATCTGACAGCGCAGGGCAATGCCAAGCCTCATTTAAAATTCACTCCCAGAGACGCAGCTCCTACATCTTTTATTGGGACGGGAACAAAAGAATGCCATGGCTATTTTCATATAAACGCAATTTTCTTAAGAGCCACATCTAAAAGCCACAAGCTGGAAACTGAAGTATGCTGGAAAGAAAACAAAATTTTTCTTTAAGGGACAAAAGGAAGCACTTGCTGCTCATTACTGGCTGCTCTGTGCTGGCTGCAGTCGAGGTTCTCACCCTGCCATTGTTCAGGTCAAGAGGCGCCTCAGATGGATAGCCAGGAGAGATGTCTGCAACACCTCCACACAAATCAATATCTACAGTATATTCTGGTTTATTTCAGGTCCAGCATTTATTTTTAAAAGAAGTTATGCTCACTTTTGTGAGTTTAGTTTAATTAAAGCACATCCACTCATGTGTTAAGTCTAATTACACAAACACAATATCTAAGATGCACCCGAAAAGACCTGCCACGTGGAAGAGCAGAGGAACCGTTTGAATATCTGAAATGAAAATGGAAATTGCTCTTGCTACCTCCTACTTTTGGTCAGCAAGCATGATTCAAAAACTCATTATAATTCAGTTGCTTAGTATTATATTACACTGCGAGGGTAAATAACAAGACGGTGTGCAACTGTTCAAAAGGCTACTGGCTCATGGTGTTCACGTTGTAGGAGAATGAGGATTTCGGGTGAGCACAAGAAAGCAAATGAAAGCCTGTCTGCTTCTATAACTAGCAGCAACGACAGAAATAAATTTCTGTTTATGTCAGTCATAAAGGAGTCATTTCTGAATACTAAAAACCAAACATTCAAAATGAAGTGTAGCCTGTTTGCTCTAATATTGTTTAGGTAATGCATCCCGCAAGCAATAGCACACACATCCGCTTTACTTACTTATTGCTGTAACTTGTTTTTGTGCTTGGCATAAATGCAGTATCAAAATTGTTCAACCTACAATCTTGAGGATAAATTGTTGACATTTTTGGCAATACTTGAAATCGGATTCTTTTTTGATAATATTTACAAAATAAAACTTCTGAATTGTGATGTGTAAGCTATTGTGTCCAAATAATTTCCCTTGTGAATCAATAAAGTTTATCTAAGTCTAAGTCTAAGTCTTGAATAAAAAGTGAATAATTTGTTGGACTGTTACAAAGTAGGTTTGAATAAAACACACTTTTTTACCTTGGCAACAGGCAAGACAAAGCCCGGTAGACATCATAAACCTGCCTCTCTCTTGTTGGAGAGTGGTAAAAGCTTAATCCATAGAGTTACACAGAGAGATCAGTATAGTCACAAGGGTGCATGTATGTGAAAACAGCTGTGAAATTCTGCTTTCTGCCCTAGAGGAGAATCACAGTAAAGTAAACACTCTAAACAAAGCTCGTGAGCACTGGGGTGCATGATTCCTATCCTACAGAGCATCCAATGTAAATGATATCAATTAGAAAGCAAGTCAGGATCTGTCAGCATCTGCTCCCCTAATGCCTCTTTTTAATTTTAGCAGCGCCTTGATATGTAACTGCAATACTAAATGGCTTCGGAAAAGAGTCTCGGAAGCTCATTTAGATAGTGCTTATTTCATTTTTTCTGGCCTCTACATTTGGTAGAACAGCAGGTATGTGTCTGTAAAGATGTCTTTATTAAACGCTTCTTATCAGCGTGGTCTCTGAATGGCAGCGCTAATGTCCGCAGGTTCAAAGGCAGAGCTAGTTAGCCTTTAGCGTCTCTTGCTCACAGTGGGATGAGGAAGATCAATCAGCCATCATCTCTGAAATGTCATCCGTCGGTTTTGTTTTTCCACCAACAAAGGCTAAACGGAGGAAAAGACGACTCATCGCTGTTAATTATAAAGCCCATTAAGTTTTGATCTGTGTGAAAGCCCTGCCAATAGGAAGGTGCCATTATCACCCACCCGTGGCATGTTTTCTTGGGTTTAATCTCTGGAAATCTGTTTGTCAAATATTCTAATGCTGTGTGAGAAACAACTCTGAGGATTTGCACATTTCACCAGTTTGTAACAGCCCATATGGCAGAGGAACAAACAATGTACTAAAGGACACTCAGCAGACGCTTTGGACATTGGCATTGATTGGTGAGGCTGACAATAACAGAATAGAGTAAGCTGCTTGTCAAGATGTGTGATTGTACTCAACTGTCTCCTAGGACACTAAATCATCCATTTCATCTAAATCCTCTTTTTGCAGTCAGCAGCATCACTGGTGTAATATTGTATTTTTGCACCTGATGAAATATGTGCATGAGAATGAAACAGAAAGAGATTATTCATGGAAAATGAACTCAAGTGTTAATGTGATAATATTTCTTTGCTTTCACAATTTGAAGACAATGTGCTACATCACTTTCGTCCGCACCTTGAATCCTTCACTAGGTCACAAAGCAGCAAAAGACACATTTAGTAAAAGAACAAGAGCAGAGTCTGAATTCATGAAGTCTGAAGCATGGGGGGTTTGGCTGAGGCTCATTTTGACTAAAGTTTAGTTATTTGGTGTTGACAGTAACATAGTAGTATAGTATTGTAATGACTTGTTTACTAAAGAAAAAGCTTAATATTGGAAACAACTATTAACAAACAATTATCGATTTACTGATGTATTCTTACAGATAACTATAAGAAGGGTTTGAACAAGGCCTGTGCGAGACTGCTTAAATACCCAAACATGCATGGATGACATCTAAAATCTCTTTAGGCGTGTTTTTGATGAGGGACGAAAGTTATAACATGGTAGAAAGCATGATACCCTATATTAAAATTAATAACCTCACAGAATGCATCAGACCTTATTTGACTGTATCCTAACTTTTGTAAGTCATTTTCCTGAAAAATAATGTGTTCAATTGATTTCTAAAAATATATTCACCTAAACATGATTTTATAGGTTAAACTTAGAATTCACAACCAATTAAAAAATGTCTCTGAAAAATATCAAGTTTAAGCCTCTCGGTATTACAGTAGCAACAGAGCAACACAGTGAAACAAAGCCTTGTCACTACTTTGCTGATAATTGTCGTCTGCTGTAGAACACCCAAAGCCCCATATGCGCCTGACAACACATGGCAAAGCCCCTTCTCCCGTTCCCATCCCAACTGTGGGGGTCTCACTCACACCTGACTGCCCCCACTCGTCCCAAATGAGAAAGAGACAACATCTGGACCCGTACGGTAAGAAAAGCTCGGAGGACAAAGGCGCTTTACGTGTACGCTCACCGCCACACATGCTAACACGCCGCACCGGAGGTCATTAAAAGGTAAAGGCCTCACTGTCTGAAGCAAGGCACGCGTCACAACATATTCTTATCACTGTCAAAACAGAGGCTACAATATTAAACCAGTGAAGGTTTCTTTTGACAAATTCCCTCTCGTTATACATCAAGGGCAAAATGTTTTGGAAAAGAGTAAATGAATTGATGGAGGTGGGAGATGATTTTATACTGCTGAGAGTAGAGATATTGAAAAATTTACTAGATCTGGTATTGGTTGCATGATACTGGCTCAGTCAATATCCTGGTTGGGTCTTTATTTGGATGTAATAAGCCTATTTACAGGCTGATTTTGGCATATTGCTTGAACTTTTATTTATACAAAACTGTTCACTAGTTCACTAGCTGGATCCCTAGCTGAGAAGACTAGATGTGAATGATGTTACAGATCTTTTGAATGGTCTGGTCATTGCAATACCATTTTCCTTCAGTGTTTGATTTTATGAACTGTAGATCTGACATTAGCCAGCCCACGGACTACAGGTGGAAATTAACACTAATGCTACAACCTGGTACAATGCTGCAATTCACCTCTCTTTTGTTCATGTTAATGTATATGTGCCTGTAACATTATATAAATAAACTAAACTAGATGAAAACTTGTTAAAATTGTTGCACATACAGAACTTATACACATAAAAAGTGGCTTATTATTTACCTGATATCACCTTTTTATCTTATCTTATCTCTTAAGATGTTCCTTTAAATTAATTTTGGAGTTTCTTGGCACACGCCCAAACAGTCTTTTTTATGTTGGATAAATCATATTCTGAAGAAAATGCCTTGTGACTTTTCTTTTTTTTTTTTATTACAGATTACATAAAGACAGGGAACTGACAGAGGCTTCCTTGAAATTGATACATTTACACCTCTCCGACTCATTTTTACCTTTAGCTCAACAGCTACAAAAACATGCAATTTGAGTGACATTGACACAATGTTTCTCAAACGGAAAAAGGAGAAAATACTCGGTTCAAAAACGTCACCTAAACGTCTTTCATTTTCTTGTGTATGTAAACAGGGATATAAAGAGGACATCTGCATAGCTCTGTTTCAAAATCTTGTTTAAAATATATGATAATGAGTCAGAAGGGCTTTGCATGCTTTTGGTTTGCAATATTTATGTAGAGCAAAGCTAATCGCCCCCAGATTCCTCCACACTTAACACACAGATCTCTTCCCTCATCTAACTTCTGGCTAGATTAACAGTTTCTGCCTGTTTACAGTGTTGTGACCCCTTTATGCTAACAGTCCCATACTTATACACATTCAGGGAAGAAGAGCTAAGACTTTTCAAAATACGCCAGTTGCAAATGTCAGTAAAGGAGGCCATTCATGAGACCATCCTGTCACTTAAATGCCACGTTGACTGAGTGTATTTATAACTTGATCATTCCATGCTTGTGTGTGTGAGAGAGTGAGGCTAGCTAGCATGATGACAGCCAATTAATTCAGCTCTTGGGGACTGGCTGAGGAGGAACAGTGACTTGCAGGGTGCATTAGTCATGCGCTATGGCAGCAGTGGCATCGGGGAGCGCTTATACGCTTTAAAGGTGACTCTACGTGTGCATTTGTGTGTGTGCGTGTGTGTGCTCCTTCATTTGTGGTGTGTCTGGCTTTACTGCTGTCCTGTCATCCCCACCTCACCCACGGGGCTCAGCATGAAACAGCCTCATGACTTAAGGATGCCGCAGACGGTGCTGAGTGCAGCCCCGGTGTCAAACTTCCAACAAAGCTTTTAACAAGCACAACAGAGAAGAGTACTAACAGCTCGTTCAAAAACTATCACTGCATTTACCCCCTACAACTCACAAACAAAACACTTTTATTAGAGCCAATGAAACTCCAGGGCCAAGGGACACTGATGCTTTAAAAGAGTTAGAAATAAGAAACAATATAGTGATGAAATAATAACATAATTATAAATATATGCTCAACTAATTAAAACTCCACCAGGACACCTTCAGAGGCAGATGAAGATGCACACTGTTACTTTGGTACATGTGAAGGACACACTTTGTTACTGTATTTCATTTTCCTCATTATCCATCTACATTGACCAGAAACAGCCTGGGCAACAGCCTGAAATGCTCTGTTTTATTACCACATTCAATCACAAGGTGAGGCTATACTATATGAGCTATACAAGCCATTTGGAAAACTTAGTGACATTCGGACTAAATGGTGCTTAGTATATGATTTTAGCACTTAGATCACTCCTAAACAATGTAGCAATTGCTGTTTTTTTGGGGGGGTTTTCAAAAACAGAATTAAGAAATGTTTAAGTTCAAAAAGCCCCATATCATATCTGTGTTTTCTACATTTTTGATGGTTTAACGGCATCTGGTGCCTGTGGTTTCATGAGCCTTGATTTTGCTGGAGAGGACTCCAGAAACAAACGATGAGCAGCCCAGTGTGTGCTGCCTCAGCCAGTGCACTGCTTACACAGGGCCATTAGCCAAGGTCTGCAGCTGACAGATGAAGGCCCCCTAATGGCGCCGGATCACACTGTGATTTACAATCTTTATATTTAACCAGGGAGAGATTAATTATTGCCAGTGAATTGACAGGTTCATGGAGGTGAGAGGGTTCCTGACTGACATTGCCATTCCTCACAGAGCCTCTGCCAGAGGGCACTGCTCTGACCTTGGGATGCCAGGCTTGTGCTGCGCCCAGCTTCTTTTCTCCTACACCTCCCTGCTCTTCCCCTTTAATAACTCCCCTTTATTCTTGGCAGGGATGCCACTCACCCTTGACAAGTGCATAGCCCAACAATGGTTGTCAAAGGGAAGCAAAATTTTGCTGTCAAACAGAATTCTCTGGTGTTTTTGATCGTGGATACTTTATTGTAGGCCAGTGTGTGCTAGAATGAGTGAGTGTGAGGGAAAACAAGAGTCGCCCAAAGCCAAAACCACAAAAGCTATGATTCCAGCCCTGTGCTTTAGCGATGCCCCGCAGATGTCCTCAGCTACTTTTTATATCTAAAATATTGTATCTGAGCTTTTTTGTCATGTTGGTTGTTGTGTTGGGGCTTTTTGGGTGTCATACCTCATGAGGATGACAGTCCGCAGCTCTGTCCCCGGGTCACGCTCAGTGCTGTATATTTAACAACACAAAGAGAAATCCATTTTCCGCTGAAGACACGACCTGAAACGAAAAGTCACAATACAGCTACGTTGGGATCAGAAACTGTTTAAATACAATGTACTTGCTTCAGGCTGACGTTGACTGTTACTGTTTATAATCAGTAAACAGCCGTCTATAATCAGTAAGATGACAGTAAGATGACTATCTTAAAATAGTGAGCCACAATCACCCCACGTTATTCACACAGTTTATATTTTTGGTAACTTTATTTTGTAAAGACACCATGTAAGCAATTTGTCTAAAATGGCTGTTGTGTTATTTTTAATAACTCAGGACATTAGGCAGTTAGGCAAAGATTAGCTTGTCACATTTATTTGCAGAGGTTTCTTTTTTTATTTTAAATGTACAAGGACAAATTGTAAAAACACAATTTATTTTCCCATTTATTTAAAATTATAATCCAGCGTGTTGAGCATTCTCTTTTGGGTGGCAAAAGCAACAAGTGAATTAAGAGTAAAAGCACAATTCCCCACAATTCCAAAGCTTTTCTCACACTGCAATTGGAACTACAGGGAAGAGCTGTTCACATTGGCAAATAATTGAGCTATCACCGGAATAACACAGGAATAACACATCCTTTATAGCTTCATTTCTAAACAACAGCTGCCACCTCACTGCTAGTACACTCCAGCTCCAGCCAGACCCCTCACCTTCTCCACCCCTCTCATCCATCTCCATTTAGTGAGTTCTATAGCCACAGTCTCACCTATGGCCCATCAGCACTCTACACCTGTAACCTGTGGATCACAACAAACAGCATGGCACTGATCAACTGCCTTCACTTTATAATGATAAAGGAATGGTGATTTAAGCCAAATGAAATTGTTTTTTCATGAACTCCCCAGCTTCACAGTAAAATGGGACCTGAGTAAAGGTCTATGGTAGAGGTTTTATCTAGTTCTATATTATATTATGCATATGACATAGATATACTGACTGGTTAAAAGGCAGTCCAGTCCAGTTTCTCATTCCTTATTTATTGTTATGGTGCAGGAAATTATTCTTAATTTCCTTAAGCTATAAAACCAAAGAAGAAGAACTGTGACGTATTTTAATAAAAAAATTTAAAATCTCAAGAATTTTGACAACAGAAATCTTTGGAAAGTTAGCATAGGAACCTTTATGACAATACAAGAATAAAAAAGCAAATAATTATCATAATCCTACTGTTGTCACTTAAAAATTTTATTTTCAAGCAAAGCTCTTGCCCAAACTGTTCAGTAACGATGTAATGTAACATTTAAAACCCTTTACAACCCTAAAGCGGAATGGTTATTCCTAAAGCAATGAAGGTCTTGAGACATGTCATAACTTACCATCTGTGTCAAAATGGTCTGCAAGTCCTCCCTGTAGTACAGGCTGCTTTTTTCCATTCGTGGATATGTTTATGTTTAAAAGTGAATCGGTACATTGTAATTGCTTTATGAATAAATATGAAAGAAATGGCCTCCCCTTTCAAGCACTCAAAGAAGATGGTTTAATTGTGTATAGAGCGCATATGGAAAGTACTTTCCTTGTGAAATTGCAATCAAGTGCTGTATAAACAAACTTTAACTGATGTTTTGATAATCCCTGCAAAGAAGTAGAACGCAAAATTAATATTAAATTTTAGCTGATGGAGTTTCTCCCCCACATGTTGTTATAGCAAATAGAAGATTATCCTCATTGATTTGGCATCTATTATTTGGTAGAGACACTTCCTACTGCCAACTTCTCCACTTGTTGGCTACAGACCAGCCCTGCTCTGTGCTTGGATTAATGATACTAAGATGTTTAACTAACTGAATTTTACTCGTCCATCAATAACCCAACAAACTTTCCTCTTGATGAAAACGGCTCTATTGTTGGAAAAACATAATTTCACACTGTAACCGACTTTTCCTTATCTAATGAAAGATGGACAATTGTGATAGACCGGGCCAGGCTGGTGGTGGTACCTTTTTAATTAGATTCGATATGAGCTCCACCAACTGGCATTACAGATGGAAACCAGTGAAGGATTATAACAGCTAAATCAGCGCTGCTCAGTCTATGATACTCCTTGCCATAAGCGCTCTCTCACTCCCCCTTTTTCTTTTCATTCGTCTTCTCTTACCACCCTTACATCACACCCCCTCCATCTGAAGTTAGTGCTTTAAGAGGAGAGATCACACCAATCCAAAGTGTCAGCACGGGAACAATTAGAAAGCAGGTGCAGTGAAATGCTCTTTTCATAAAATCTCATGTTATTTATACCTGCCCACGCAAAAATGTGGACATGCTTTTGCTTCTCCGTCATAACTGATACATTTTTATTCCTTCTTCACACAAACAACCTATATTTAATAAGCAATACTGAAATACACAGCTTGTTATTGCACAATCTATCGCCATCATCAGCCTGCTTGGCATTTCCGACAGAGACATCAGTGCTTCTCAATCCAATTACACTAACCAACCATAGAAAATCCATACTGAAAGATGATGAACCATCTTTACAGAGAAATTACAGGCCTTGCACCAGTATAATTGAA